AAATCAAGTTAATAGAAAAAAATTTAAATGCCATGATTATGTTCTTCTAAAACAACCAAGCAAATCTGTGAATTTAGATAAACACGCCCAGGTCTCCTAATGCCTTTGTTAGTCTTCTGTGCTTTACGCCACTTGTTTTTCCTTTGTAAACCCAAATTGTCTTAAAAACATCAGATATACTTTAAGTTAAAAAAAAAAGCTCACAAAAATTTTACTTTAGAATTCCAAGCCAGGGTGAAATTTAATTGCAGTTATAAACCCTCTGAGCAAGGGTTTATCTGGAATTGCCAACATAACCCCAAGTTCAGCAATGCAAATGACACTGCTATAATAAAAGAAATAAAAAAGCCTTCAATATGTTGTCTAAGAACTTGAGCACACTGAAAGTGATTTATAAGCAGGCAGACTAAACATTTAAATGCCTTTCCTAGCAATGGTATATTTTTCAATACAGCAAGCGCTCTCATATATGATTCTGTATTCCGCGACAGTGCTGCTTCTGACAATATAAGTCCTTTCTGATAGGGTAACATTTCCAATCCAAGATTAAAATCTTGGAAACTTGTCAACAGAAAAGGATGATAATATGAGTGAAACTGCAGCTATCAAAGAAAAATGCCTCGCAAGTAATTTCTGTAATGGTCAACTTCTAGTAATTTTCCCTTCCCCTTTTACTCTTAAGTAAAGGGGTTGGCCTGAAGGTCATTTTAATATTTTGGATAAGTACAGTTACAAACCAGAAATTCATGAACACAGGGAAAAGTGAGTCATTTAATACCACAAAAATCAACTTTTTACATTGCCTTTCTTATTTCCATTTCTAATGCAGACCATAGGGAATATTTTTCTTCTGATGAATAGGGGTTTAAGCAATGAGTTGACAATAAACCCTTGAACTTCATGAGGCACTAAAAATTAGAGGATCAGAGAGTCTTAAGTTTTCTTGAGTATATTTCCATAATTTTTTTCTGTTACTTTATTTAATCTTTCACTACTCCAGAGACTAGAACTGAGTGACCTACTAGGTCTTTTCCATTTTTTTCTCATAATTCTCTTTTTCTGTTTGGGATGTGGGTGATCTCTTTAATCTCTGGTGTGCCCTTGGCTATACCACAGGTAAATTGGGGTGATTCTCAGTTTTACTAGCTACACAGGATGGAGTATTATGGGCGAAAGAGTATGTCTGAAAAAGTTCAAAACATTTATACACTTTTATTACTGTGATATTTCTAAATTATTTTATTCCCATCACACACTATGGTAGCTAAAGTGAATTTCAAAGTCAAATTTCTTATTTTTCCTTTGGTTGGATATATCTTGCCTTTATAATATTCTTTTCTTCCCTGAATACTCAGCATTTTCCTTATCATGGTTCTGAGTATTTCAAATCACAAATACACACACATACACAAACATTCTGTTTCTTCCTCAAAACTTATGTTTTCATTTATTTGATGATAAATCAAGTATAATTCAACACTTAATTATTAACTCTCTACTAGTCTCCGTCATTCAGGCCCTGTGCTGTCCCTGGGGGATGCACTACTAAATTAGATGTGCACTTGTTTGAGGTAGCTCAAGGTCTGATAAAGGAGCTAGATGTGTGTGTTAGTCATCAGATTTCAGAGTAATGGTTCTAGGGGAGGGATAAACAGACAGGCTCATAAAGGACCAACGTACTCAGTGTCAGGGGTCAGAGAAGTCTCCCTACAGCAGTGCTTTTCAAAGTGTGGTCCTTGAATTATAGCATCATATCACCTGGGAGCTTGTCAGAAACACAAACTCTGAGGCTCCATCCCAGATGTACTAAATCAAAAAAACTCTAGGGACGGTCTTTTGTCTGTTTTGCAATAAGCCCCCTGGATGGTTCTGATACATGCTCAGGTTTAATAACCACTGCCTCAGAGTCAGTAACAACTTTGTAAGGAAAAGATGCTTTCTTTACTATCAGGCTCATTTACATAATTGATACCTCTTGATAATTAAGTCATCTAAGATCTCTTATTCTTCTCTTTGTCTCTAAACTGTACTGGAAAAGTGCAACAGCTCCATTTTAAACAACTGTTACTTACATATTCTTTCCCGGTCCACACACAGTTAAATGGTTTAAAGGTAGAAGACAAATAATTAATTACATTAGAGTTACACAATGCAAAACATCATTAACAACAACAACCTGATTCTTCTGAAAACAAAATAGGCCCAATTGTCCAAATTAATCAAATGAGTCTTCCTAGAAATCTAGTTTGGTTTGTGAATGTGAGAACATTTGTGTCCTAGTACTCAATATTTTGAAGCACCACCATTCTGTTTCTTGGAGATGATGAAGCAGCTGAGAGTCCATTCTTATCCCTATGCAACAATAGTAGAATTCATATCTTCTTGCCCCACACCCTCTTCTCCATGGGAGTGAAGGCAAATGGAAGAAATGAAATAAACTAGACAAGAGCTGAACTAAATTGAGTGATGTTTTAATTATATGCCTTCCTTCTGAGTTGCTGAGTTATAAAAGTGTCCCTCTTTTTATAGTTTTACATTATAAGTAAAATGATTTGTTGTTGCTCAGTTGCTAAGTTGCATCCAGCTCTTTGCGACCCCATGGACTGCAGCAGGCCAGGCTTCCCTGTCCTTCACGATGTTGCAGTTTGCTCAAACTGGACATTCCAAAGAGGCATTTGAAAGCTGGAGAACATTTTGGTACAGTAAAAACACATCTAATGTCTTTGAGGAGAAGGCAGTGGCAGCCCACTCCAGTACTCTTGCCTGGAAAATCCCATGGGCGGAGGAGCCTGGTGGGCTGCAGTCCACGGGGTCGCAAAGAGTCAGACACGACTGAGCGACTTCACGTTCGCTTTTCACTTTCGTGCACTGGAGAAGGCAGTGGCAGCCCACTCCAGTGTTCTTGCCTGGAGAATCCCAGGGACGGGGGAGCCTGGTGGGCTGCGGTCTATGGGGTCGCACAGAGTCGGACACGACTGGAGCGACTTAGCAGCAGCGGCAGCAACGTCTTTGAAGACCAAGTTTCCTGCGGAACAGTGTTACTGGTTTCACAAGCACTGGAGGGTTGTGCTGCACTTCTTGGTCTTCTTGGCAGCGTTTTTTGTGTACTTGGGAGTCCGAAACCATAGTGAGCGGAGAAGCGGTTACCGAGATCCTTGGCAGTGAGCCTGATCAGGAGAAGGGATCTCACTTGGATGTGGAAGATTATCTCTCGGGAGTTCTTCTTCTCGCTAGTGAACTGTCGAGGTTGTCCATCAACAGCATGACCGCCGGAGACTACTCCCGGCCCAGGCACATCTCCACCTTCATCAAACGAGCTGGATTCCGGCTTCTGCCTCCTCAGCCTCAAAAACGATTCCCCGAGGAAGTGCTACGACGGCCTGAAGTAAGATGTGAAGAAAATGGAGGAGGTGGTCTATGATCTCTCCCTCTGTGGCTTCCACGGGAGGCTGGCAGCAGCCTGCGTGAAGCAGGGGGCTCCCCCGGGCCCTGCTGACTCCAGCGGTGCCCACCAGGCCCAGTCCAGCGCCTGCCATAGTAGTTAGAATGCCCCGTCATTTCTTAACTGGTTGTGTGGTGTTTCAGAGTTGAAACACTTTTTAGGGGGTGACAGAATAGTCTTTACAAGGATAGGTTTTTCTTTGTTGTTTTCGGTGAATTTGCTTTGTAACTCAGTATTTACTCCAGTTTTGTCAGAAAACGTACATGTCCATCTCTTGGTAAAGTTCTTTTCTTGCTTACCACCGCCCCCCCCCCCCCCCGACACCAAAAGAAGTTGTCCATTGTACAATGCTAATACAAGAGTTTTTCATAATGTTTCTGTAAACATTATTTTATGTTATTTTGTCTTATTTAATAATGTTATTGATAATTCAATATACTATTATAATGATTCAGATATGTCATGTCACAAATTGTTCCCTGAAATATAATTACAAATCTAATGGGTTACTAAGTTCTTTAAATATCTCTCATCATTCTTAGAAATAAATCTTTGCACATACAGCAGTATAAAAGATATTCTTAATCTGTTCTCTTCATTCTGATTTAAGTTCCCTCATCTTTTCTAAAAATTTTTTGTTGAAATAGCATTGATTTACAATGCTGTGATAGTTTCAGATGTCCAGAAAGTATTTCAATTATAGATACATATATATATATATATGTTCTTCTTAATATTACTTTCCATTATAGGTTATTATAAAATATAAAGTATAGTTCCCTATGTTATACAGTAGGTCCTTGTTGGTTATCTGTTTTATATATAGCAGTGTGTATGTTCTAATCCCAAACACCTAATTTATGCCTCCTCCCCTTTGCCCTTGGTAACCATAAGTTTGTTCTCTGTGTCTGTAAGTCTATTTCTTTTTTTTTTTTTCCTTATTTAAAACTTACAACTCTTTATTTTGCAATAATTACAAATTAATAGGAAGGTGCAAAAATAGTACAGGGAGTCCCAGTTTCCCCCAGTGGTAAGATCTTACACATCGCTATAGTCCAACTTCAAAACCAACATATTGACAATGGTACAATACTGCTGACTAGACTATAGAGCTTATTTGGTTTCACCAGATTTTACATGCACTCCATTTGTGGGTTTTTTTTTGTGCAGCTCTATATAGTTTTAGCACAGATATACATTCATGTAATCAACACCACAATCAAGAAATAGAACTGTTCCATCAGCACAAAGGAACTGCTTGTGTTGTTACCCTTTATAATCACCCATATCTCATAACCCCTCCAGTCCCTATCCCTGGTAACCATTAATCTGTTCTTCATTTTTATAATTTTTTCATTTCAAGAATTTATAATGTTATACATATGCAGTCATACAGTAGGTGACCTGTTGAGACTGACTTTTTTCATTCATCATAATACACTTGAGGTCCATCCAAGTTGTGTATATCAATATTCTGTTTCTTTACATTGCAGAGTAGTACTCATGGTGTGAATGGTTGGTTTAACTGCACACTCAACTGCAGGACATCTGGGTTGTTTCATTTGGTGCTATTACAAATAAAAGTGCTAATAACATCTGTACAGAAGTTTTTGTGCCAAAATAGGCTTTTATTTCTTTGGGATAGGTGTCCAGAGAAACAATTGCTGGGTAATAAAGAACATGTATGTTTAACTTTCGATCCCTGGGTCAGGAAGGTCCCCTGGAGAAGGGAATGGCAACCCACTCCAGTATTCCTGCCTGGGGAATCCCTATGGACAGAGGAACCTGGCAGGCTACAGTCCATGGGGTCCAAAGAGTCAGACACAACTGAGCAGCCAACACTTTCACTTTCATGTTTAACTTTATTAGAAGTTTCCAAATTCTTTTTTTCAGAGTGGCTTACCATTTTACATTTCATTCAGCAAGGTATGAGATATCCAGTTTGTATGCTCAACAGCATCTACTATTATCACTATTTTAAAAAATTTTTGTCCACACCCCGAGGCATGTGGGATCTTAGTTCCCCAACTAGATATCAAACCCATGCCCCCGGCATTGAAAGGCAGAGTCTCAATCACTGAACTGCCACGAAGTCCCCATTTTCACTATTATTTTCTTTAGCCATTCTGATAAGTACATAGTCATAATTCCTTGTGGTTTTAATTTGCATCCCCTGATTACTAATAAGATTCAATATTTTCTCCTATGCTGGCTTGCTATCCACATTCCCTCTTCAGTGCTATGTCTATTCATGTCTTCTGCTCATTTTCTAATTGTATTATTTTTTCCTCTTGACTTTATATATTCGGGATTCATTGCGATAAATGGTTTGCAAGTGATTTCTCTCAGTAACATCTTCCTCTTAAATTGTTTTCAGAGCAGAAGTTTTTCCTTTTGATAAAGTCCAGTATATTAACTTTTTCCTTTTAGGACTGTGCTTTTGGAGTGAAGGCCAAGAGCTTGTTGCCTAGCCCAAGATCCTAAAGATTTTTCTATGATTTTTTTCCCCTAAAGGTTTTACAGTTTTACATCTTACACTTAGCATCATGATACATTTTCAAATTTGTATAATGTATACAGTTTAGGTCAAAGTTCCTTTTGTTTGCCAACTGCACCAACATGATTTGTTGAAAAGACTATCTTTCTTCAGTTAAATTGCTTCTGTACCTCTGTCAAAATCAATTGGGCTGTCTTGATCACTGCAGCTTTATAGTAAATCTTGAAGTCAGGTAACGTGAGTCCTCCCAATTTTTCTTCTTCAAAATGGATTTAGCCTAATTAATTTTATTCCTGGATATTTTCATTCTTCCCCGTTCTGTCTCCTGCAAGAAGAAAGTTCTTGCAGAAGCTCTTCCTTTTCTTGTTGCAGCTCCTGCACATGCTGTTGGTTTTGCCCCAGTGTGTCCTCCAACCACTGTAGTAGAGGTCCGCTGACTGCTGACATCTGACTACACAGATTCTTGGTAAACACTGAGCCATTATGGATCCTGGTTACTGAGTCCAGATGTGTAAGGCTGTGGATCCTCCTATATGCATCTTGTTCTTCTTGGCACAGGATCTTGGGCAGCTCAACTGCTGACTCAAGGCATACTTTCCCAATGGTTATGTGAGGTACAATATGAATTGGGATTTCAATTCTCTCATACTCTGAGCTCTTTTGGGTCTGTATGGATTGAAAGCAAGTATAGGGTACCCGTCCAGTCTTTGTATTTTTATCTTCTATGAAGCAGGAAAATATAAGTCCTACAAAGCCTTGATCCATCATCTGTCTGGTACATGGCTTGTGTGCGGACATCAACATGTGAAGGCCAAACAGTTATATGGGGATGGGAGTGATACCAACCCACAACTCTCATGGGGCGACCCGTCAGTTCAGCCAACCTCTCTGCCTCTGTTGAGGCCGCAGACAGCTGCTCTGGAGAAATTTCCACGCGATCCTTCCTCTTATCGGAACGTCGCAGGATGATGATAGAATGAATGTGAACAGTTCTGACGGTGTCAACCTCCCCAGTGCACAGCCCCATCACCTCTTCCTTCTCCGTGCTCAGAGCGTGGTTGAGACACACGAGGAAGGCGTCCGACTCCAGATGGACCGCTTGCACTGCCTGCACTACCTGCACCGCCATCTTGGCCCGGCCCGTTCACATCCGCCTCCGGCCCGCTCGGGCCTGGCCAACCCGCCGCTGCTAGTCTATTTCTGTTTGGTAAATAAGTTCATTTGTATCATTTTTTTAGATTCCACGTATATGTGATATCATATGATATTTGTCTTTCTCTGTCTGGCGTTCTTCAGTTAATACGATAATCTCCAGGTCCATCCATGGTGCTACAAATGGCAGTGTTTCATTCACTTTTATAGCTGAGTAATATTCCATTGCATATTTATATATACCACATCTTCTTTATCTGTTCATCTATTGATGGACACTTAAGTTGCATCCATGTCTTGGCCATTGTAAACAGTGCTGCTATGAATATTGGGGTGCATGTATGTTTTTGAAGTATGGTTTTCTCTGGATACATACCCAGGAGTGGGATTGAAAGATAATATGGTAGCTCTATTTTTAGTTTTTTAAGGAGCTTCCACACTGTTTTCCACAGTGATTGTAGTATCTGACACTCCCACCAACAGTGTAGAAGGGTTCCTTTTTCTCCATACCCCTTCCAGCATTTATTAATATTATTTGTAGGGTTTTTGATGTCAGTCATTCTGACTGGTGTGAAGTAGTTTTGATTTACATTTCTCTAATAATGATGTTCAGCATGTTTTCTTGTGCCTTTTGGATGTCTGAATGTTTTCTTTGGAGAAATGTCTGTTTAGATTTTCAGTCTATTTTTTGATTGGGTTGTTTTTTTTGTTATTGAGTTGTATGAGCTGTTTGTATATTTTGGAGATTAATCCACTGTCAGTTGCATCATTTGCAAATATTTTCTCTCATTCTGTACGGTTTTTTTTTTGTTTGTTTGTTTTATTCATGGTTTTCTTTGCTATGCATTTCTATATACTAATGATGAAAGATCTGAAAGAGAAATTAAGGAAACAATCCCATTTACCATTGCATTAAAAAGAATAAAATACCTAGGAATAAACCTACCTAAGGAGAGAAAAGACCTGTACACCACAAACTATAATACATTGATGAAAGAAATCAAAGATGACACAGATGGAGAGATACACTGTGTTCTTGGATTAGAAGAATTAATATTGTCAACATGACTACCCAAGGCAATCTACAGAGTCAATGCAATTCCTATCAAATTACCAATGGCATTTTCCACAGAATTTGAGCAAAAAATTTTAAATTTTATGAAAACACAAAATACCCCAAATAGCCAAAGCAATTTTGAGAAAGAAAAACAAGCTGGAGGAATCAGGCTTCCTGACTTCAGTGAAAAGTGAAAGTGTCTGACTCTTTGCAACCACATGGACTGTAGCCCACCAGGCTTCTCTGTCCATGGAACTCTCCAGGCAAGAATACTGGAGTGGGGAGTCATTCCCTTCTCCAGGGGATCTCCCCAACCCAGGTATTGAATCTGGATCACCTGCATTGCCAGCAGAATCTTTGCTGTCTGAGCCATCTGGGAAGGTTATACTACAAAGCTACGGTTATCAAAACCATATGGTACTGGCACAAAGACAGACATAAGATCAACAGAACAGGATAGAAAGCTCAGAGATACCCATGCACCTGTGGTCAATTGGTCAAGAATACAGAAGGGGTAAAAGAATCTCTTCAATAAGTGGTGCTTGGAAAACTGGACAGCTACATGTAAAAGAATGAAATTAGAACATTCTTTAATCCTATACATCATCTCTTTATTGGACTTTTTTCAATATTTGCAAACCTGGGCTACAGGTCCATGGGATCACAAAGAGTTGGACACGACTGAGCGACTTCACTTCACTCCCAGACCACTGTACTTACCCTCCATCCCATTCTAAGCACATCATGACAAGATTTATCTAACATGCATATAAATCATATTATTCCCCTTATGAATATGCTTAACTGTCCTTTTCTGCCATAAAGGCTTTCATAATTAGGTCCTTGTTGATTTCTCAATTTTCACACTTCCAACTTACCACTTATTTAAAGCAATATATAAACTTATTTGCAGTTTTTTTTTTTTAATTTTCAAATCTTTTCTTGCTTTTGTGAGAGCAAGACTGCTGTTTCCTCTATCTGGAACACCCTCTTCTTCCTGGAAAGCCTGGATAATACATACCCTTCATTCAACACTGAGTATTATCTCTTTTGTGAAAGTTTTCCACCTCTTCTGCTAAACTAGATTCCTTCATATTCTTTCCTTACAACAAGACACATTTATTTATTAATTATTATTATATGTACACATGGCATGTAAATAAAACATGTAGTAGCTATAGTATACGTAGTGCATACCATCTTTAAGATGATGCTCTCTCTGGGTGGGGAAGAAGAAAGCACAACTATATGTATAATAATTTATTTCTTAAAAATGAAGCAAATGACAAAATATTCAAGTGAGATAAACTTAGGTAGTAGGTATGTGGCTGTTGGTTCAGTTTTCTCTGTCCTTTAAAATAGTTTTAATGTTTTCTTGATTTAAAATAAGTTGAAAAAATATGGTAGCTGATAGTTAAATCATGGGATAAATAACCAAGCAGATTGTAGAATCTTTGCTTTGGGAGATTAAAACATCTTTGTGTGTGTGTGTGTGTGTTTAAACTAAAACTGTAAGATTGCAAGTTATGGGTTCCAGCCACTCACTTGATACTTATGTTCCGGTTCACACTGAAGCAGCTCCATTTATAGAAAACTCAGCACCTTTTCAGGTAGCCCATCGGGAATTCCTGCTCTGTCCGACTTCTGCTTCTTGGAATGCATCGAGGTACTTGTGAGTTTTGTTTTTAATATTGGATTCTTTCTCAATATGATTTTATTGATGTCTTTTCATCATCCTGATCACCCTATTTAAGATACAACCCGGAGTTTTTCTTAGTGTATGAAGGAATACAGTCTACATAGACAAGAGCAGAGGTATTCATTGCCTCACTCATTTTAGACACTTTATTTGTCTGACATAATCTCAGGTTTATATGATACTTCTGAAAGTCAAATCACACAAATGGAGCATTTGAAGGTTGCTGCTGCCAAGTCTGATTCCCTCTGTTCTGTGTCTGTATACTTGAATCACTAGTCCTTGACATAGGTCAGGAAAACTGTTAATTGCATTAAAACATTTTGTTGAACTTATGATGAATCACTATTTCCCTTTGGATACTAACGTTGGATACGTTGGTACAACTGTAATATCATCGAGGCTTTCTTTTCCTGCATCTTGCCCCTAAGGGTATCATGAGAGAAGTTGTCAAAAGCTTTTCTGAAATCCAGCTACACTATTTCTACTCTGTTTCTCTGATCTCCCAGTGTAGTAACTCTGTCACTAGAAAATGAGGTTAGTGTGACAGGACTATTCTTAGTGAGCTCACGCTGAGTTTACCACTTCTTTTTCTAAGTGCTCAGAAGCCATTGTTCAAAAAAAAAAAAAATTGTTCTAGAATCTTGCCCTGAATAGATGTCAAGCTCAGTGCTCTCTAGTTCATGAATACGCATTCTTCCTCTTTTTATAAATCCAAATGACACTTGCCTGTATCCAATTTTGCAGGAGCTCTTTTCCTCTGTGGGGTTTCTCAGGTGCCCTGACAATGATTCAGCCTTTTCTACAAGTTCTCTGAGGATGTTGAAACATACTCCTGGGCCAAGAGACTAGGATTCATTTGGCATAGCACCTTTTCATCTCCTCATTTACTTAAGAATACATCTATCACCTGTTTGAGAAGGGAATAGGAAATCGATTAACCCAAACTGTAGTTAAGGCCGTGTTTGGTTTGATGGCCAATATGAAAGTGAATCAAGAGGAAAAACTGTTATTAAAGGGCTTGAAGCATATGCAGCAGTATGCTAGGTGCTAAGAGATGAGAATAAGATAAAGCCAAAGCCCTGGTCTTAAAAATCTGATAGTCAAGTTGGGGGAAATAAAACTTGTAATACCATAACCCATATAGTTTAATTTGGGAACAAACAGGACTTCAAAGAACACAATCCTTGCCATCAAAAGGATTTAAAAAATAGCTCAAATTGTTTCCTTATATTCCTTAATACTATCAAAAAGGTATATTAAAAATATTTTAAATGTTGCAATATAACTATGGTGTCTACTGACTGCTTCAGTGGCCAGAGGTTGTGAGTAAATTCTGAACCTAGGTGTGTGCTAAAATGAACCTTCTTTTGTGGTAAAAATCTGTTTCTGAGTTGAAATGTTGATACAGTAATAGGAGAAGGAAGGGGGTAATGGTTCTACTGCTAAGCCAGCCTCTCGTGCTACCAGGCTTGTTGGGAGGGGGAGGGTAGGAGTAGAGAGCAGGACAGCAGGAAGAATAGCTGAGGAAGAGAGCAACAATGCCTTGGTCCCTGGGGTCTTTCCTACGTGCTATCTCCTATGCAAAGCGATTCCCATCTATTGAGCACCTCGCTATGCCAGGAATGCCGTTAGGTACTTTAAATGCCATTTTACCTTTGTTCCTCCACAAGCCTGTAGGATAGTGCGTGCGCGTGTGTGTGTGTGTGTGTGTGTGTGTGCGCGCGCTCAATTGTGTCCAACTCTTTGCAACCAGATGGACTATAGCCCACCAGACTCCTCTGTCCATGGGATTTTCCAGGCAAGAATATTGGGGCAGGTTGCCATTTCCTTCTTCAAGGGATCTTCCTGACCCAGGGATTGAACCCACATCTCCTGCATCTCCTGTATTGGCAGGTGGATTCTTTACCACTAGGCCACCTGGGAAGACAAAAATAGTCAGTGTATCCTTATTTTACAAGTGAGGAAACTGAGCTCAGAGAGGTGGAGTCATTTGTTCAAAGGTCACATTAATGCTAAATCGCAGACCTGAGGTGTAACCTCAGATGCATCTGATTTCAGTGCTATTTTCTTTTTATTACATGACACTCTCTAGATAGAAACAAATTGGGACTTGAAGAGACCTTTCTTCTTGTCCTTAAAAAATGTCTTGTCACCTAGAAAAAGGCAAAATTTCACCCATGTTTCAAGCTGATTGCCATATTCTGCTTGTTTTATTAAATATACTTTAACTTTTTATATCATAGAATAAATACAGTCTAATTATTTCAATGAAGTAATGTCACTCTGTTACCATGTATATAATGAGATGTATTTTCATAGACATTCTCTCTACTTGGGACTTGATATCAAGAAAATGAAATTTGCAAAGATAACTCCTTGCTACCTGATTATTTACTGCATGAGGATAGCGCTTGGTGAATGGCCCTTGTCTGAACTGAGTTTCCTAGTTACTAATGCAACAGGTGCTGCAAAATGAGGTCTGTGAACTGAAGGCCAATTTTTGTGCAGAGGATAAAATGTGAAGCAATAGATAGCTCAGGAGAGGACATGGTATATGGGGATACAGTGTCCCTGCCAGGGACAGATGCATATTGCTGAGCAAGGGCTGTTCCAAAGTGCCCTGACCGTTAATGCAATCAGAACCCTGAGCTCTAAATTAAAGCAGGAAAAGAACAGCAGAAAGATACTTGCCTGTAACTGTAACCTAGAGCCTAAAGGTGCTGGGGGAGAACACTGCAGGAGCAGTAAACCTCTTTTGCTGTTAGTTTCTGTTGGTTTCTTTACAGGGATTTGGAATGCCTGGTTGCAAGTAATTGGATTAAAGATGTGGATGTGTGAGTGGGGTTTAGATTTTGGGAGGGTAAGAGATTGGAGACAGCTAGAGATGCCAGGATATTCCTGTGTGTGTGTGTGTAAAAGCTGTGTGTGTGTGTGTGTGTGTGTGTGTGTTGAGGGAGTTATTAGAGAAGAGGCAGCCATTTTCAGAGAGCCCTGACCATCTCCTACCTGGGGGACTTTTCATAGGAATTGGCAGTGGCTGCCTGGACCATCTCTCAACAGCAGAGTGACGCTGCAGCCTTTACATTGGACTTTGTCCACCCTTTGGCCCAATTCTTCCCCTGGCCTCCATGAATGCCTATTTCCTGCGTGTGACATGAACCTTCATAGTTCATTCTCTGACAACATACCTGATAGTGACCTATGTAGAGTTTCACATAGTGGGTCTTCCACAGATGTTTTCTTCTTCCATCCATCCATCCATCCATCCATCCATCCATCCATCCACAAACATTTACTGAATTTCTACTGTGTATCTGTAGCAGTTGTTGGCACTAGGGATAGATAACAAGTTAATACCACTCTTAAGACCTCACAATGTCATGGAGTCATAGGGCCCATTAAAGTGATTACTAGCCTGAGATTAGTGCTATAACACAGATGCATAAAGATTCAGCATTGGCCCCAAAGAGGGTATGGTTGACTGTACTTGCATGAGGCAGAAAAGGCTACAGCCAGGATTCATGGTTAAGATACTAGGTGGTCTTCAGAATCAGACTCAATGAGTTCAAATCCTGCTTTTGCCACTTTTTTTTTTTTTTTGGTTTTGCCACTTTTAAGCTAACAAAACATGGAAAAATTACTCTAATTTTGAGTGGCCTCCATAAAATGCATGACCATTATTTCATGGATTCTTGTGATTATTAAATGAGATGATGTGGATAGATTCATTGGTAAATGCCTGGCGTGTAGAAATTGGTCAGTAAATTTTCATGATTATTATTGTTGTTATTTCTGCTATCATTATTTGTAAAAGTGATAAGGCTTCCCCAAGGACGTATTTCAGCTGAGACTGGAAGGGTGAACTGTGGTCACTAGGCCAGCAGTGGGAGGTCAGTGATCGGGTTGGGGATGGAGAGGACTTTGCAGAAGAGAGAATAGAATAGGCAATGCCCAGGGACCTCAAGGGTGCAGTGTATTTGGAGGGAGTCAGTCAGATAGAGTTAGCTGAGCTCTTAGAACTTTAGTTCTCCATCCTGTTATGTATCACACTACCTAGTAGTTGTTTGGACATAATCTGTCTTTCTTGCTCCTCACGTGGTGAAATACTCACTCTTCTGATTCATCTGTTTCGACCAAAGCCATCTTTCCTGTAATGTCTCTGGGTTCCTGTCTCACACTCTGTCCTTGCACTCATCATGCTGCAGTGTGATTACTTAGCAGATGTGTATTTCCTCCTCACTGGGATCCTAGAATGTCTTATTCAGCTTTGTCTATTCTGCATCGACTGGATGGACATGAGTTTGAGCAAACTCTGGGAGATAGTGAATGACAGGGAAGCCTGGCGTGCTGTCGTCCTTAGGGTTTCAAAGAGTCAGACATCCCTGGCATGCTGCAGTCCACGGGGTCACGAAGAGTTGGACACGATTTACTGACTGACAAATTCTACACTGAGCTGGTACCTGGGATTGTGGACTTGTGCAGACTGTCTTTGTGAATTAAAAATAAAGAAGAATGATGAGAAATCATCCATAAGAACAGAATATCTTATTCTCTCCTGGAAGATCCAAGGAGTCATTTTGAAACAGAGAAATGGTCTGCTTTCTAAACCAAGTGCAGAACTTCAGATGTGCTTTTTAAAGACACAGTTCTCTGTATTTATTTGAACTTTGTAGTATGTAAGGAAATAGAACCCTGAATCCAATCTGGAATCCAGGCCTTAGGTTAATCATTTATACACAGTCCTGTTTGGTCCTGAGCCTATCAAAATTGCTTCATTTTTACCTGCCTTGCATTCTCTCCTCAAATCCTATAATAGCGCTATCTTTTCAATTGGCGGATAAGGTGCCAAATGGCTGTTCATGTGTGGTCTTCTTGCAGCAGTTAGTTAATGAGGAGTGTCCCTGATGATTTTTTATCAGATGAGAATTAACAGTCTGCTGGACACAGCAATAACCTCTATGCTAACTGAGAGACCCAGAGCCAGGGAGCTGATGGCTGAAAATGTGGGTTCTGTTCTAGGCTGTCCCATATGGATGCTTCCTGGTGGTGTAACCTAGACATGTCTCCTGAGATCTCTGAACTGTCAATTTTCTCCTTTATAAAATGTAGGCAATAATAATGTTAATTTCATAATAAGATAAAAGAAAAATGATCATTAAAATCATGTGCTGATTTGAAAAGGCCCTGGTGCCCAGTCCTTTGGTCAAATGCTAGTTTCCATGTTGCTGAGAAGATACTCTTTAGGTTCATGCCCTTTGAGTAAAGCAAATTACTCTTCATAAATGTGAGTGGGCCTCATCTAATCAGGTGAGTATCTCAAAAGCAAAGACTGGGATTTTCTGAAGCAAAAGCAATTCTGCCTTCAGACTGCAACATAGAAAGTCTGCTTTCCTTTCCAGCAGGTAGATTTCAGACTCAAAACTTTAACATCAACTCACCTGAATTCCAGTTTGCCAGTCTGCCCTGTAGGTTTCAGTCGTGCTAATTCCTTATGTGTCAATTCCTTAAAGCCTCTTCTCTTATTCTGTTCCTCTCTCTTATATGTACATTTCCCAGGTGGCTTAGTGGTAAGAAATCCACCTGCCAATGCAGGATTCACCAGTTCAGGAAGATTCCCCTGGAGAAGAAAATGGCAACCCACTCCAGTATTCTTGCCAGGAAAATCCCATAGACAGAGAAATCTGGTGGGCTACAGTCCATGGGGTTGCAAATTGTCTGACACTACTGAGCAACTGAGCATGCACACAAAATATATATTCATCTACACACATATTTTCTATGGTTTTATTTCTCTGGAGAACTTTGATTGATACAGGGAATAAAGCTTAGCACACTTCCAGGCACATAGGCCTCCATTAGTATGAGCAACTATTCTTACTAAACTCTCTGGACCCCAGATCCTCACTTACATGATGGGTGAGTTGAGTTGAGTCAGTAATCTCTGCTGTATTATCTAACTTCATACTCAAAAATCTCAATGGAGAGTCCTGCTTCATCAAAGCTATCCTTCTGGGGCAGGAAAACAAATTAAAGTGCCTAAATCCTTTTCTATTGGTTTTTCTGACTTGATTGCAGTACAGCTTATGCATTGCTACTGCTTAAATTTCTAGATGTGCTTAAAGGTATGTCTAATGTGTTCTTGATAAGTTGAGTATAAGACACATTTTGCAACATCCCCAAAGATTTTCACATTCAGAGAGAGCTGCGCTCTTGTTCTTGTTATATCAGAGGCTGGGAATTGCTGGCCCAGAGGGAGAATTCAGATGAAGAGGAGGTTGGGAAGGAAGTCTCATTTTTCTGGGAGCCTCTGTGTCCTGTGCTCATAGATTTCACAGGGGAAAAGGGTAAGGGGCAAGGGGAATTATGAAAATAAAGGCAGGGTCTCAACTTCTGAGCTTGTTTTTTGTTTTGTTTATTTTGTTGCTGTTATTCTTTAGAAGGGAAAGAATGTCAATGTTTTTGTTTTTGGAAAACAATGTCAATGTTCATTTATCAGCGATGTCAACTATATCAGTCCATTGCCCTCACTCTATTCTCTTATATTCCCTCCCTTTTCTGCTTTATTTTTATAAATCAAATTTATTACCTCCTGATATGTATTTATTTGTCACTGTTTCTATTGTTGATTATTCCCACTAGAATGTCAGGTCCTTGAGAATGGATATTTTGCCTGCTGTATTCTGTGCTATATCCTGAAAGTTAGAATTATCTTGAAGACATAATAGATGCTCAGTAAATACTTTTTGAATTTATAAAGAGATCTGAAAACAAATTTTCTATTCTCTGACACTCTAATGATATTATTGTCATGCCCTGAGGCCTTGGTTGCATTATTTCTTTCTTTTTCTTTGCAAGGTGACCGAGTGAACTCGGTGGAGAACGTGGCATATCTGGTTTCCTCTTCCCTCCATTGAGACTGGAGAACTTCCAAACTGCAATCTCTGGCAAATGGTGAGTGGTTTTATTTCTAGGTTCATGTGATGATTATAGCAACATAGCTCCTGTTGTGTCTTCTCGTCATGTGGTATCACAATTTTAGTAACTCCAACCTGAAGCAATTGGACAGTCCTGAGATTTATAATCAGATGACCCAGACTCTGGTCATATCCTAGGTAAAGCATCAAGATATATCTCTTTGTCTCCATTGATCGTGTGCTTCAGGACCATTAGGTGAGATAGGTATATAAATAGTCAACAACTTTAGCGTTTCTATGTCTAGTTTTGCGTCATCTTCAAACAGTGACCATTTTACTTCTTTTGCCATTTGGGTTCCTTTGATTTCTTTTTCTTCTCTGATTGCTGTGGCAAGGACTTCCAAAACTATGTTGAATAAAAGTGGTGAGCGTGGGCATACTTGTCTGATTCCTGGTCTTAGCAGAAATACTTTCAGCTTTTTTCACTGTTGAGTATGATGTTAGCTGTGGGTTTGTCATATATGATCTTTATTATGTTGAGGTACGTTCCGTCTATGCCTACTTTCTGGAGACTTTTTATCATAAATGGGTGTTGAATTTTATTGAAAACTTTTTCTGCTTCTATAGACATGATCATAAGATTTTTATTCTTCAATTTGTTAATGTAGTATATCACACTGACTGATTTGCAGATACTAAAAAATCCTTGCATCCCTGGAATAAATTCATTTGATCGTGGTGTATTATCCTTTTAATATATTGTTGGATTCAGTTTGCTAGCATTTTGTTAAGAATGTTTTACTATGTTTATCAGTGATATTGGCTGTAGTTTTTATTTTTTTTGTGGTATCTACAGAAATAGACCCACAGACATAGAAAACAAATTTATGGTTACTGAAAAGGAAAGAGCAGAAGGGAGTATGGATAAATTAGGAATTTGGGATTAGCATGTACACACTACTCTATATAAAGTAGATAACCAACAAGGACCTACCACATAGCATAGGAAACTATACTCAATATTTTGTAACAAGCTATAAAGGAAAAGAATCTTAAAATATATGTATGAAATATATGTATGTATATCTATAGTTTCAGGTATATGTGTATGTATATATACATATATCTGAAACTAACAAGACATTTTAAATCAACTATACTTCAATAAAATTTGAAAAAAAAGATCCAAGCTAGAATGAAAAAAAATCAGCACATAGTAAGCTTACTATACAAATGTTCATTACTGTAATACAAAGCCAGAAAGATTCTGAAAAGAAAGGGAATGTAAATTTCCTAAACATCTAATATATACTTACATGCTATTTAACTTAGTCTTCATGTCAGTCTTGCAAGTTTTAAAATATTATCCCTGTTTTAAAAGTGAAGAAACTCTAGCTCAGAGCTGTACTGAAGTTTCTTAAGGTCAGATGATGGTATAGATGGCTCATGGGATTTAGTTGAAGGTTTCGAAGACCCTCAAGCAGGTGCTTTATTCACTGCGTCACACTAACCACCATGAAGAGCCCCACATCCGGCTTTCAGGAGCATCTGTGTGAATTAGAGAGAGGAGCCTCTTCTGGATGGTTACAGCCCTGCAAGTGGAAGGCTTGGTCAGCACAGGGAAGCTGCTGGGAGGAAAAAGTTCTGCCTCCATCTAGGTGTAGGTGATCATGCACCAGGGCAGAGGTTCTGCAAGGAGAGCATGAGCTATTTTCAGTCCCATTTTCCTCTCAGCTACAGAACCATCAAGTGTAGCATTCAACATGGAAAGGATTCCCCTAACAACCTAAGACCACTGAGCAACAACTGACACAGCAAAATTAAACATTCATCTTCCCAAGTGTCACTTCTTGAGAAGTTATGATGTAATTGAACTCTTCTGAAAACCCAACAGGAAGTTGGGGTGTGCGGGCAAGAGCCCTGTCATTTCTGGACTCTGTGACCTTAGCAATTCAGGCATCATTTTATTATTTCTCACTGATCAGACACCTTCAAGTCAGCATCAGCTTTCAGACCCATTATGACTGCAGAGAATTACCCAGGTGTAAATACAACATTGAGGAACCTGTCTCACTGCCAACATCCATGAGCTTGCAGAAGTGCCCTTGCTTAATTTTTAGGAAGGGCAGCAAAATGGAGGGGCATGTGAGGCAACCCCTCCAAAAAAAGCCATGCAGATCTGCATTTTGAGATGTACTACTTTGGTCCTTTTTTGACATTGGTCAAATAATGCAAAGGAGGAACTGAAGACTAAAAAATACTGCAGGAAGTCATTTGAGAGAGTTTTCGTGTCTGGAGTTAAGCAACCTACCTGAAACATGCTTCTTCAGGCCACAGGATGAAGTTGGGTTTTAGACTGCACCTAGCTACTGACCTCTCACTACTGAAGGGTGTTTTCTTCCTCTTAATGGGACCCCACAGTGGTGAATAGATTCCTGGGGTATGAGGAACCCCTATCTCACTTGACCTTCAGATCTCTGCTTTGAGGGTCTTCATGCTCTGAGAGTGCTTCCAGCCACAGCACCCTGTCAACAATTCCTGAGCTTATCTTTATATCTCATCGAAAAAAAAATCAGAATTGATGACATTTTGAAGAAACACCTGAGATGGAGCTAAACATCTGGTTGATTAGCCATGCCTTTATGTAAATATTCAGCAGGAACTTTATTTTTGTATTCTGTTGTCATGGCACATGAACAGTGTCCAACCTGTACTTCTGAAGGGTGAATACCATTCCCCGTCTCTAGAATGTTTGTTTCTCCAGCTTCTTCACTAACAAGTATTACCATAATGCTTTCACTGAGCTCTTCTAAAAAAACTAAAAATCATTTCACAGATTTTACTGTTATACTTTTTGGTGGGTTTGTTCACCAAAGTAGGTAGAGTGCTGGTTTTGAGAGACAAATTATGTTTTTCATTTTAATATGGTTTTTAAAAATATTAAGTTGATACGAAAACATTTAAAAATGTACGTGAGATATAAAAAGTAGGCACATAATGAACATCTCTTTACCAGTTACATAGTTTAAGAAAAGGAATTAATTTTGAGGTTTCCTGAGTGCCTCCCATCACTTATTTAATTTATCTTATCACTTATTACATATTTTATCACTTATTTATCATTTATCTCATGCCCCCTTTATGTAGCTGGCTATTCCAAATTTTGTTTTAACTTTCTCTTGCCTTTTTTTTTTTTTTTCATTTATTTTTATTAGTTGGAGGCTAATTACTTTACATCATTGTAGTGGTTTTTGTCATACATTGAAATGAATTAGCCATGGATTTACATGTATTCCCCATCCCGGTCCCCCCTCCCACCTCCCTCTCCACCCAATCCCTCTGGGTCTTCCCAGTGCACCAGGCCCGAGCACTTGTTTCATGCATCCAACCTGGGCTGGTGATCTGTTTCACCCTAGATAATATACGTGTTTCGATGCTGTTCTCTTGAAACATCCCACCGTCGCCTTCTCCCAGAGTCCACAGGTCTGTTCTATACATCGGAGTCTCTTTTTCTGTTTTGCACATAGGGTTATCGTTACCATCTTTCTAAATTCCATATATATGTGTTAGTATACTGTAATGGTCTTTATCTTTCTGGCTTACTTCGCTCTGTATAATGGGCTCCAGTTTCATCCATCTCATTAGAACTGATTCAAATGAATTCTTTTTAATGGCTGAGTAATATTCCATGGTGTATATGTACCACAGCTTCCTCATCCATTCGTCTGCTGATGGGCATCTAGGTTGCTTCCATGTCCTATTATAAACAGTGCTGTGATGAACATTGGGGTGCACGTGTCTCTTTCAGATCTGGTTTCCTCGGTGTGTATGCCCAGAAGTGGGATTGCTGGGTCATATGGCAGTTCTATTTCCAGCTTTTTAAGAAATCTCCACACTGTTTTCCATAGTGGCTGTACTAATTTGCATTCCCACCAACAGTGTAAGAGGGTTCCCTTCTCTCCACAACCTCTCCAGTATTTATTGCTTGTAGACTTTTGGATAGCAGCCATCCTGACTGGTGTGTAATGGTACCTCATTGTGGTTTTGATTTGCATTTCTCTGATAATGAGTGATGTTGAGCATCTTTTCATGTGTTTGTTAGCCATCTGTATGTCTTCCTTGGAGAAATGTCTGTTCAGTTCTTTGGCCCATTTTTTCATTGGGTCATTTATTTTTCTGGAGTTGAGCTGGAGGAGTTGCTTGTATATTTTTGAGATTAATCCTTTGTCTGTTGCTTCGTTTGCTATTATTTTCTCCCAATCTGAGGGCTGTCTTTTCACCTTGCTTATAGTTTCCTTTGTTGTGCAAAAGCTTTTACGTTTCATTAGGTCCCATTAGTTTATTTTTGCTTTTGTTTCTAAAATTCTGGGATGTGGGTCATAGAGGATCCTGCTGTGATTTATGTCGGAGAGTGTTTTGCCTATGTTCTCCTCTAGGAGTTTTATAGTTTCTGGTCTTACATTTAGATCTTTAATCCATTTTGAGTTTATTTTTGTGTATGGTGTTAGAAAGTGTTCTAGTTTCATTCTTTTACAGGTGGTTGACCAGTTTTCCCAGCACCACTTGTTAAAGAGGTTGTCTTTTTTCCATTGTATATCCTTGCCTCCTTTGTCAAAGATAAGGTGACCATAGGTTCGTGGATTTATCTCTGGGCTTTCTCTTCTGTTCCATTGATCTATATTTCTGTCTTTGTGCCAGTACCATACTGTCTTGATGACTGTGGCTCTGTAGTATAGTCTGAAGTCAGGCAGATTGATTCCTCCAGTTCCATTCTTCTTTCTCAGGATTACTTTGGCTATTCGAGGTTTTTTGTATTTCCATACAAATTGTGAAATTATTTGTTCTAGTTCTGTGAAAAATACCGTTGGTAGTTTGATAGGGATTGCATTGAATCTATAGATTGCTTTGGGTAGTATAGCCATTTTGACAATATTGATTCTTCCAATCCATGAACACGGTATATTTCTCCATCTGTTTGTGTCCTCTTTGATTTCTTTCATCAGTGTTTTATAGTTTTCTATGTATAGGTCTTTTGTTTCTTTAGGTAGATATACTGCTAAGTATTTTATTCTTTTTGTTGCAATGGTGAATGGTATTGTTTCCTTCATTTCTCTTTCTGTTTTCTCATTGTTAGTGTATAGGAATGCAAGAGATTTCTGTGTGTTAATTTTATATCCTGCAACTTTACTGTATTCGTTGATTAGCTCTAGTAATTTTCTGGTAGAGTCTTT